AATAATGTTCTTTTACATTAATTTTCGTATAGTCCATATTGAAAATAGATACCATGAATAAATCATATAAAATTATTTACTAGTTTTGAAATGAATATGTTAAACATAAAGTGTCATTAACATTTCTCAAACCTTAACTTGCTATTAAAATAATCTATAGTTTCTTTTGGTTCTAATTTCATTCCGAGGAAGAAGTGTCAAGAGTGCGTGTCGGGGAGCCGCACTACAACCAAATTATCATATAACTACACATAAAAAATGTAACTAAATCTCCAAAAAGTATAACTATAGCTCTCCTAAGTAGTATAGTTACGCATAAAGATATGTAGGGGATGTATTATTATTATTATTTTTTATTTAGATTATCCGGTATCCGAAAGCTCATCGGGTCACCGATTAATTCAGATTTGAGCCGAACAAGACCAACTAATGGTAAAACTCTCCCTCACAAGTTTTAATGGAACTGCATTCTCAAAACTTGAAATCAAAATCTCTGATTAAGTTGAAAGAGTTCCCTACCAACTCATCCATCCATTTATGGATAATGTATTATATAACTATACATAACTACCTACATTTTTTGTGATATTACTACAATTTTAAATTGTGTAGCTAAAGGCCCTAGATAACCTTGATAACCTATACTGATATTTATCAAACTATAGGTAAATACAAATACTTATGCTTATCATTTGTAGGTAAAAATCAATGGCAACAAGAATAAAGTGGTTTTGATGTTATCTTTTAGTAATAATATTTGTTGGTACTAAATATATTATCTAATAATACCATAAGTTGTGATAAAAAGTTACATATTGTAACAACCTCATTGTTCTTATAAAGATAATTTGAAAATAATATTTATTGTTGTCAAAAATATTATTTATAAATGGAAATAGTGCTTATCAGCTTTATTTCTTAAAGATTAAGAGGAAAATCATTCTAAAACTACGTCATTTTAATTAATTTTTATTGAAAAAGACTAAACTACTCTATTTTTAAAGCATGTATTTAGATGATTTTTGTTCTTTTTTCTCCTAATTTTTTGGAGGTAAAGTGGGTAAGCACTAATATCTTTATAAATCCTATAAGTTGATACAAAAACATGCCTCTTATAATAACTTCTATTATTTCAAAAACTAATATTTTGCAACAATAACAGTTATTGATAAATGTCATAAGAAACAATAGTATTTGTTGTTGTGACATCACTTTTTAACTCCACTATCAATCATTTTCAAAAATATTATATACTAACAAAAAAAGTTGTTACCAAAAATTAGATTATACAATAACATGTTAGAAAATATACTCTTTTATAACAATATTGGTTATCATTAAAAATACTTTTAAAACTATAATTAATAGTTACACAAAGAAAAGTTTACCAACAAAATATTTTGCAAAAAATTAATTTAGCAATCGCCAAATTTGTATCTCTAAACAATTTCAACCATTTCTAAAATAGGTACTCTTTTAGAATGAAAGTTATTTTTGCAAAATAATATTAGAAACAAGATTAATACTTGCCATAAAATAATTTTAGCAATGGTATTTTGCATTGCTCGAAAAACTTTTCTAGAATAATATAGGTAGTTTACAAAAAATAAAAAAATGAAAAAATGAAAAAACCATTACCCTAAGAGCGAAGGTTTGTGGTGACAGAGCTAATTGCTATTATTACATACATTGGTTGGAAGAAAAAAAAAAAAACACCACATATAGAACAAATTAAACAACGTATTTAATATCTTTAAGAAAAATAATCATCGAATGTGCTCCTCTACTATGGAGAATAGCTTGTCATAATCATTTACCACCACCACAAGTCAATCTCTTGATGCCCAAACTTGCTGCGACTCAGTAAGAGCCCACTCAAATTCTATGACAGCAAAATTGGATACCAAATCAACAAAGGTTTGAGAGCAAGCTCTGGCATCAAATTATGACCGGAATTTTCAGCTCTATTAGTGCCTTGAACTCAATAGAATTGAGTTAAATGGTCAAAGTAGAATTGTAACCCTGCCTCTTAGCTTTCCATTACTTTAAAAATCAGATTAATCCAACATTTACAGAGAAAGTTATGATTAAAAAACTAACACACATTCAGACTGTTAATTCCAATCACTCTCACGGACTGAATTTTGCAGCTAAGTTTTCAATTTGATAATGACTGAATTGGGTTAAACATTTAACAGAAAAATTGTAGACCTGTCTCTTAGCCTTTTAGAGAATCAATAATTTCCTTAATCCAATATCTATAGAGAAAGTTATGAAAAAAAAACTACTGAAGGTCATGTTGTCAGAATTTTTGAAGCACAAAATTTTCCAGTTTGATTATAACCCAAAATAGTAGGTAAAAGACAACTAAATGCACCTGAATTTTATCCTACAAATAGCCCTATAGAGACAAGTATGACAGACCCCTAAAATTCTGCAATGTTTCCCAAAATTTTGAAACAGAATTGTGCCTCAAATAGCCACAAAAACAGCAAGAAGAATCACACCGGGACAGCAACAAGAGGCACTCAGAATTTGCTGCACTGTACACACCTAAACCCAAAAAATTTAAGGGCAAAATGAAGCCTACCAATCTGCAAAAATATCCGTTCATGCCTTAGGAATGTTGGTTACGTGTAGGTTGTTAAAACAACACAGTTTCTAGTAGTTTAGATCTGTGACTCTTAGCTGAAAATTTCAAGGCCAAATTCATGAATCTAGGGATGGAATCAAAGCATGAATTTGAGTGGTTAAACACAAGAACTTTCTGCAAAATTCTAAGTAGGATTAGAGGAAGGGAATAGACTAGGATGGTTGTCGTGCTTGAATTCAATGGGAGAAGAGGAAGCCTCAAGAAAGTTTGGGATTTTATAAAATTCAAAATATTAGTGTCCCTTATCATTTGAATTAGATAGACTTTAAAATGAGTTTAAAGATAAGATAGAAGAAAATTGAAGTTACAAACTTTAGTTTGAAGATCACTTCCCGATCTCTTTGGAAGGAATTTTTTTTTTTTTTTTCAAATGGAAGTAATATTATTATTAGATAAAAAATAAATTTTTTATACATTTTTAGGATTATGTTTTTTGTACCTCTTGTGTTTTATACAATAAACTATATTTATTTGTTGATAAAAAAAATTAGTGCTATGTTTCTCGGCCAATATATATATTTATATATATAGTGATCCAATCTAGCAAAGGCCATTACCTTTAGTTAGCTTTGTTTTTTTTTTATATTCGTGAAAATTATGAACAACTCTCCCTTTCTTTCTTTCTTTCTTTTTTTTTCTCAACAAAGACATAAACAACTTTTATTTACAGGTTATGGTTCAAATGCATATAAACTTTGAAATTTAGTACCCAATGCCTAAATATGATAATAATTTATGATTACACAGTAAACCTTCATTTTTTTAGTTTATTATTGAAGGCATGGGGCCATTGAAATCTATGCTCAATTAAGGCCTATTGTTGACATTTAAAAAAATTCATTATTTAGTTTTATTTCATAATATAGTTTGGTTTCATGCACCTTACGGTGACAATATTTATTATTACCAAATATATTATTTAACAACCCCATAAGTTAATGAAAAAAGTACATCTTGTAATAATTTTATTCATTTCTAAAACTAATATTTTGTAATAATATTTTTTATTTTCAAATATATTATTTAACAATACTATAAGTTATTCTAAAAATTACGTCATGTAACAACGTTGAAACATTTATAAAACTAATATCATTTTTATCAATGATTAGTCATTGCCATAACTGTTAAAAGCGATATAAAATAACCAAAATGGAGTAGTTACAATATCATCCTTTATCACCAATATTTGGTGTTAAATATATTATATAACAATATTATAAATTATTGTAAAAATTTACACTTTATAACAACCTTAAATAGTTTTTAAAACTAATATTTTACAATAATAATAATCATTGCTAAAAGGGTATAGAATAATTTTAGTGGTTATTAAAATGAATGTTTGCAACCATAAAAGTATTAGTGAAAAATATAATCTTGCAATATGATTAATATTTTATGAAGTTAAATGAACTATAGCTAGGGGTTTTTGAAAATTTATAAGTATAGAGGATTGCTATACCTATAATTGATCTATACCGTAGGTAAAAGTTTTACTTTTATATCTACACTAAGTCATTTTCATAGATAATGTTATTCTATTCCTACAATTTTGTAAAACATATAGGTATATTTAGATTATATATATATTAATAAATTATAAGTATAAATACCTATATTAATAAAATTATTAATGTAGGTAAACAAATAGTACAGGTATATGACAAATTGGACATGGTGCCGGAAAAGTTTTTGAATTGAGAACAGCTCCACGTAGAGAAGAACGAGGAATGGAATGGTCAAGGAATTAATATTTTTGAGAGGATAAAATTGAGACACGAAAGGTACCCTTAACTACCATTTCAAAGTCCAATTCGCTTTGCTTGAAGAACAAGACTAAGAAAAATGGTGCTTGGTGAGCCAAAATGCAGCGGCCGCCACTTGATCATCCCCTGTCATATGTAACAGTCACTCTCATAAGAGCACTCAACTACTCAAAATAATTAATATTACCTAATCTCATGGTTTGTACCACTGAAAGAAGAATGTTAATAACGTTCTTTTACATTTTCGTATGGTCCATATTGAAAATAGATACCATGAATAAATCATGAAAAATTATTTACTAGTTTTGAAATGAATATGTTAAACATAAAGCGTCACTATTATTCCTCAAACCTTAACTTGTTATTAAAATGGTTATCTTATGAATTACTACCTAGGAAGATCATGTATACCCAAAATAAACTGTAGTAATTACTCCGCAAGATAAGAAAAATAATTGT